TATAGTATATGGTTATGTGACGCCATAAGCAAGTGGCTGGCATAGTGTACAGGAACATCTGCACTGAGTATGGGCTGGAAGTCCCAAGGTCACAATGGAAGACACCTCCTAAGGTGGAGAATGACCAAGCTAAGATCCAGACTGACAAACCGGTGATGGCTAACCAACTGGACATCACGTTAATGGACAAACAACAGAAGAAGGCAGTGGTGATGGATGTTAGCAACATCTGGAAGAAGGAACATGAGAAACTGGAAAAAATACCAAGGGCTGATAGAGGAGCTCGAAAAGATGTGGGGAGTAAAGGCAACAGTCAGTGGGAGCACTGGGAACTGTGACCCCCCAATCTGGGAAAGTGGCTCCAGCAGATTCCAGGTACAACACCTGAGGTCTCTGTCCAGATGAGTGCAGACCTAGGAACAGCTAAGATGCACATACATGCATTAAATAAAGAGATGTCAGGGTGAGGGGGGCTGCCCATGGACAGGTGCCCTGAGCTGTTGGGGGTTAATGCCTTACTCAAGAGCACTTTTGCAGTGCCCAGGAGGCAAACTGGCACCTCTCCTGCTACCAGTCTATGCTCCAATTTGGTCCACACAGGGACTTGAACGGGCACCCTCTGGTTCCCAAGCCAAGTCCCTATGGACTGAGCTACTGCTGTCCCAAAATTACAGCCAGCAAGTCTGAACACATTTCCTTCTTGACATCATTGTTTATTGTTTTACAGATAGAGATCATCAAAACAAACACAGCAGGTTACAGATTAAAGGGCTGTAAAACAGATTAAATAACAAAGTGTAACTGTACAGAATATAAATTACCCACACTGCCTCAACCATAAAGAACATTATGATGTATTGAAGTTACTCCAACTGCATTACTTGTATTCTTATGTTGATAAGAAAATTACTGACACATAATGATCTTGAACTGTTAAACAGCATTTCATAACTGATACATAAAAAGCCCTTAAATTAACTTGAATGAACATACTCTACAATAGGCCCACAACCGTAAACCGCTGTGTATTCTCATTATCATTTCAGGAATATTTCAAAAATACGATCCACTTAAACTTTTAAAGACACAGAGACAATTTTACATGCCTTCACCTCTTCACACCTGGATCACTGCAACAGCCGCTCTTCTTGCCTGAATCAAAAATCTGCTCATCTGTTAGAAATACACAAGTAAAAATCCTGCATTCAATTTCAGAATAATAAAATTGGATTATACTTATTGATGCATTAATGTGTTCATCACTTTAATGTTGCAGCTGGAAAAGATGGAGCTCACGATAATTACTTTATTTACTGCCAAGTAGTTTGTTAATTTAGATTTGTTGATTTCCTTTTGTGTTATTAATCTGAATCTGCTGAGTAACTAAAGTTATCAAGTAAATGTAAAGGAGTAAAAAGTACAGTATTTGCCTCTGAAGTGCAACGATGAAAAATAAGTAAGTACATTTATTCAAGTATTGTGCTTAAGTAAATTTTTGAGGTGCTTGTACTTTACTAAGTATTTCCAATTTATGCTGCTTTAAGCTTCTACTCCACATCTTGAAGGGAAATATTGTACTTTGTACTTCACTACTTCTATTTGATAACTTTTCACATTTAGATTATTAATACAAAATATAAACTGAAAAATTGTGACATACTCTCATAGATAAATCTACCCTCTACCTTCATCTCTTCACACCTGGATCACAGCAACAGCCTCTTTTCTTGCCTGAATCAAAAATCTATTCATTGACTCCAGACTGTACAGAAATCAGCTGCCAGAGACATGATGACATCACTCCAGTTTCAACCTCTTTACACTGGCTCCCAGTATGTTTCAGAATAGATTTTAAGATTTAACTGATTACTTTTAAGGCTCTTCATGGTCTCTCTCCCAGTTATATCTCTGACCTCTTAGTGACATACACCCCAGGACGTATGAGGACCTCGGGCAGAGGTCTTCGGTCTGTTCCAGAGGTCCGGCTGAAAACTAAAGGGGACAGAGCGTTTGCTGTCAGGGCCCCGAGGCTCTGGAACAGTCTGCCCAAGGTAATCAGGTCAGCCGAGTCGGTGATCTCTTTTAAATCCCTTCTTAAAACTCATCCTCATCCTCATCCTCCTCTGGTAAAATCTTAATTGGGAATTTATCGCTATTGCTGAAGAATGGAAACAGCCTCTCCTTGAAAGTGTGTGTGAGGGTGTGTATGTGTTTGATTGTGCATATGTGTGTGTCAGTATCAGGATCAGAGAATGACAGCTCTCCTCTGTTCCAGTCCAGATTAACTCTGATCCTCTGGAACGTCTTCTTCACTGGCAAAGTTACTGGTTTGGCTGATGGGACGAAGGCTTTATATGTACCATTACAGAATCCTATTCTCCATATTCCACACCATGTTATGCTTTTCCTCAAGACAGACTGTGTTGTCACGCCCAGAAATCAGGTTGTACTGTCTCCAACCTCAACGTCCCAGCTGTGAGTCCCTGAGTTAAAGCCCTCAGAGCCCAGGACAGAGTGAAAGGAGTCAAACCTCTCTGGATTATCAGGAAGCTGCTGTTTCTCTCCACATCTCAGACTGGTCAGATCTTTAGACAGGATGAGTTTTGGATGAGCAGTGTTTGGATCCAGAATCACAGGAGTGTCTGAGACCATGTCCTCCATCTTGCTCCAGATGTTGAAGGTCAGGTTGCCCAGGTGTTTAGCCTGGTCTATCAGAGCTCTTGAGGGCAGCTGTGGATCATCCAGCAGGGGGCGCTGCTGGACTCTGTCCACTGCAGCCTTGTAGTTGAGCAGGAATGAGACGTCTTCAGCTCTCAGCTCGTCCTCTGTGGCTCTGACTGTGTCTGAAAGAGCTGCTATCTCTCTGCTCAGAGCCTCCATCTTCTCCTTCATCATCTGACTCTTCTGCTCCTCTTCCTTCCTCAGAGCAGAGATCCTGGCCTCCTCTTCCTCTTCTAGAAACTGGTGAAGTTTCTCAAACTGCTTCTTAATCAGCCTCTCTGTGTTTCGGGCCTGGACCTTAATGTGCTCTGCTGTTTGATCAAACTTCACTTTAACTTGTTCAAACAGCTTCAGTTTCTCCTGTAAAGGCTTCAGGGATTTCTGGAGCTCCTCTTTGTGCTCCTGTGCAGCTTCATCGATGGGTCTGAATCTGTGGTTGTTGTGTGTTTTTGAATCTCTGCAGACGACACACACCGGCTGCTGATGGTCCAGACAGAAGAGTTTGAGTTTCTCAGAGTGCAGACTGCAGACAGTCTTTGCAGCTCTCCGATCTCTCATCAGTAAGAAGGTCTCACACAGGTTCTTTAATGCCAGATTACCAGGTGGTTGACTTCTTGATGTCTTTCTCTTACAAACTGGACACTCCTGTATTTGTTTCCCCTCCCACCATGTCTGCAGACAGTCTTTACAGAAGCTGTGACTACATGACAGGACTACAGGATCTTTGAAGATGTCCTGACAGACAGGACAGGAGAGATCTTCATCTGATATGGCAGCCATTGTGTTTTTAAAATGCTGAAACAAAAAGCAGACAGACAGCACACTGCAAATCAATCAGTCACTGTTTTCATCTATCAAATAGATTTGACTGTTTTCTCTCTGTGTAGTGGCAAACTCACGTTTAGTGTGTGAAGCCGGCAGTTTGTTGGAGCAGCAGTATTCCAGTTTTCACCTCTGTGCTCGTCCTCTCTCAGTGGATGTTTCCAGTTTGCTGCAAGGGCAAATCTGTCATTGTCTGTCTCTCGCCGTCTTTGTCTTTCACTGGAAAATGATACACAGTGCTTACTTCCCTGTCTCAGGTGAGTCAAGCAAAGGGTGGAGCTTCATCAGTGCACTTCTTGTAAATTCTCAGCTGTTAACTGTAATCGACCAGGAGCCATATTCACAAACACTCTGAGAACACTCTCACAGAGCTCCTGACTTAGCTTTAAACTTTCTAGTTAGGAGTCCGAGCTGAGGAGTGATTTTAGGAAGTTCTCAGAGCAACTCTGAGCAAGGATGGGACAGAAACTTTTACCTTCGTGAGGAGGTGTGAATACCCAGTGAAATAGACTGTGTCACAATATTAAACTGTGGAAGTTCTGTGATTGTCAGTGTGGTCACTCTGCTGATGGAGGGTTGAGACAAACCAAAGTCATCACTGCTGCACTGTTGCATTCCTCTGGTTGCCAAATATCTTAGTGTTGTCATCACTTTATTTCTTGTGTTGTACCACAGACATCAGCCCTACACCATCTAATCTGTAGCATTTCACTGGCTCACTGTCATCCAGCATTTGGAGAATATTTCTCCAAGCTCTTATCTGTCCACCATTTTTTCCTCTGCTTTAGCAACTTTTAAACACTTAAAGGCCATCCTCCCTTCTCCTGACAGTTTTTCACCTCGGGAGTTCTCTTCCAGACTTTGTGAATAACTTTTATCAGCGAATTGTGAATAATTTTTGACAGCGAACTATCCTTAGCTTCAAGGGGCAATTCTTGGATCAACTCTTTGTGAATACGGCCCAGGGGTTCATCATTTTAGCACGATGTATTGCTCCAGGTGGGCGAGGGGCCTGAGACTTAAAGGTCGACTGTATTGTCTAAATGTGACCTGCCTGGTTTAAATCCAGCCAGATATTTGTTGCGTTTAATCTGCTTTGTGTAAAAAAATAATAATAAATAAATCAATACTTTAGCATCAAACATTTTCTGGACAGTCGGCTTCAGATCAGTTCTTCTCTTCTTGCGACATACTGTGAAGTTAGCTCTTTAATCCTTTGAAACTTTTCTTGTGCTGCTTTCAGATGCCTTTCACAAGTATTCAAACCTATGAGCCTTGAGAAAATTGGTGCAATTTCTTTTAAAAACACTGGGAAAAAGGCAATGAGCAACTTGGTGAGAAATGTTCCACAAAGTGCAAAGAATTTATAGATTTAGAAAAGTATGTTAAAAAGCTAGGGAAGAACGATATTTATAATCATCCTTATATATATTTATATTTAAAATAATGTCACAGTATTAATACGTTTAGGCTTGTTTCCAGGTAATTTCCTTGTTTGCTTCTTTAATTTTAACTTTCTTTTCTTATTTTTTTCAATTTTCTTTTTTTTAATCTTTTAATTTTTTTGCTAATTTCTTGCTAATTATTTGGGTCGTTTCTTCTTTGTTGCTCATGTTTTTGAAAGAACCCAAGCCAATTTGCTCAGGTTTCAAAGGGTTGATTGAAGCCAGAATTTGGTGTCTCGCAGACAACTGACACTCCTGGTTGCGTGACTTTGTCCAGAGAATGTTAGGCTATGTGTTTGGTGACGTGTAAAAACCTGTCAAGCCAAAAGTAATTGTTCTGACATTTGGATGCCACAAGCGGAGTTATGCTGCTGAACCGGTTCTGTTCATGAAAGTTCACACTGTTCTGTTCAGTCCTCCACTGAAGCAATCACAACCTTGTTTAAAAAAATCTCCCTGATTAAGAGTCTCTTATTCAGAGGAGAAAAAGGTGGAAACACAAAGAGGTAGAGCAGGGTCCTGTTGTCCTCTCCTTCTGTTGAGAAACGGGTGGCTGACCTCCAATGGAGAATTATACATGGAGCAATAGCCACAAACAGACATAGAGCTCACCTGGATCCAAGCACTGGGGGTGTGTGTGTGTGTGTGTGTGTGTGTATGTAGTGATGGAATTGTAGTAATTTATTGTTTTCAGTTTACCAGTTGAAGTAGATGGGGGAACACCCACTGACCCATCCAGCCCACCCTATGATGACATCACACATCCGCATGTCCTGGGGGGGGTCATTTGGAGGTGGAGGTCAAAGGTCACCTTGCATACATTATACAGACACAGTACACGCAATAGGATAGATAAGATACTGTAGCCTACATGAATAAATAGAATGCCGAGGAATACATGTCGTAAAAGAAATAAAATCATTATAAAGAATTATAAAGAATTTAAGAGACGAATAGCAGAGGGAATAGAAGATTTCAAAAAACTGTTAGTCTTACAGACAGGTGAGACATAGTGGCGACCTGAGCGCAACTTAGAAAATTCACCTGCAAGCACATGACCAGGAGAAGCAAAATACTCTTTGCCTTCCTCAAAGTTTGTTGGTCACAGAAGCTGGACAAGTCCCTAAGTATCACTCCTGTGATCTTGGAACATGTTTTAATAATGCTGTACAAACTGTTTTTATCTCTCAGCGTAAGGCTGGGGAACCAGCAGATAAAGGAGAAACACAGGAGACTCTCCATAAAAGACTGATAAAAACGACAAAGAATAGCAGGACTGACAGAAAAAGAGTTCAGTTTGTGGAGAAGGTGAATTCTCTGTTGCCCTCGCTTCACAGTGTCTGCAGGGTTCACATCAAATTGCAGCTTCTCATCAAAAAAGGTGCCTAGATAATTTATATGAAGGTACCCTTTCCACAGTTTTACCATGGATGGCGCTATCTGCAGCTGGGTTTTTGTTGCGTCTAAAATCAATTATAAGCTCCTTAGTTTTGGACACATTCAAGTCTAAGTAGTTTTTGTCACACCATGAAACAAAATCAACAAGAGCCTCCCCATGTCCTGATTCAGATCCTTGAAGAAGAGACAGAAGCGCAGTGTCATCAGAGAATTTGACGAGATAGCTGCCTCCCTTGGCACTCCTGCATTCATCTGTATATAAAATAAAGAGTAAAGGGGAGAGGACACACCCTTGTGATGAACCGGTGGACAGAGCTAAGGAGCCTGAGACCCTCTGCTTTCTGTTAGTTAAAAAGTCTGACAACCATAAGACAACCTGGTGGGGGCAGATTAAAATCATTTATCAGCCTCCTAAGTAAAAGATGCGGCTGCATCAAGTTAAAAGCCGAGGAAAAGTCGGCGAATAAGAGCCGGGCGTGGGCTTGAGGTTTTTCCAAGTGTCTGTAGAGGCAGTTAAGAATAAAAAGCTTGGCGTCCTCCACGCCTTTCCCTGCCTGGTAGGCAAACTGAAGTGGGTTGATTCTCTCCTCTATATGTGAAAGAATTATGTTCCTCATAATTTTCGCAAAGACCTTCACACACAGTGATGTGAGTGCTACTGGTCTAAAATCATTGAGTTGTTTGGGGGATGAGTTTTTTGGAACAGCCAGGGATTATGATGGAGGATTTCCCTAAGTCAGGGACTTGACTGCAGTTGAGTGACATCTGAAAGACGTGGTGGAGGACACTGCTAAGTTGGTCAGCACAATACTTTAATGTACGTCAGAAGGTTATTTACACACTCTTGACTAATGACTATATTGCAGTCAGTGTCAGAGGAGATACCCTGTTTAAGAAGGGAAAGATTGCCTGAGAGGTCATGGTTTTCAAACCGTGAGTAAAAGAGGTTCAAAGTGCTTGGCAGATCTTCATTGCTTCCCTCTATTCTAATTGGTGTTCTGTTGTTTTCATCTTGGATGTTAGTGGCTGAGGACATGGATTTAATGCCTCTCCAGGCCGCCCGCAGATCACCACTGCTATACTTGTGTTCTACCTTGTCCTTATAAGCTCTTTTGGCTTTCCGAATTTCATTCTTAACCTCTTTGTTGATGTCTTTCCTTTCCTGGTTGATCTTTTTCTTCTTATTTATGACATTTTTCAAGTCTTTCATGACCCACGGTTTGTTGTTAGGATAGACAGTGATGTTCTTCTGGGAGATATTAATGTCAACACAGAAGGATACGTAGGAGGAGACCGTCTGTGTCAGTTCATTCAGGTCAGAACATGAATCATAAAAAACATCCCAAGCTGTACATTCAAAACAGGCTTTCAAATTGTCAATACTATCCTCTGACCAGCATTTCACTGTCTTTATAGTCCGCTCTCATCGTTTACAGACTGGCCTGTAGGTTGGTAGAAGTAGGACACTACTATGATAGGAAGCTCCCAAGGAAGGCATGCGCATGGACCTGTAGGCATTGGCTACTGAACCATAGCACAGGTCAATAGTGGAGTTCCTCATAGTTGTTGCACAGGTGACATACTGTTCATATGTTCTCAGTGTTTTGTCAGTTTGACAGTGATTAAAATCCCCTAAAATAAATTGAGGAGCATCAGGAGAGAGCGCGTTCAGCTTGTTGCTCACGTCTTCAATCAGCTGACAGGCTGCCGTGACGTCAGCTCTTGGATGAATGTACACAAGAGAAAAGAACAGCTGAGGGAACTCCCTCGGCAAGTACAAGGGGCGAAGCGAAATACATAAACTTTCAATGTCAGAGGTACATATTCTCTCCCGCACCACGACAGTATTACAGTATCTCTCATTTATATAGAAGTATACTCCACCTCCCTTGGATTTGTTTGTTATGAGAGGAGAGCGGTCCAGACGGATAGGGTGACCAAGGGAATCCTTCACCCACAAAATGACCATTTGTAAATCAGTTAGTTGTGAGTGGCAAAAAAAAAAAATCTACACACTTAAATTCATGCAGTCTGTGCCCTCCATTACCCATAACACCATACTATTTAGTATGGTTAAAAGCACAACAGCCTTCAATGTCGTGGAATTGCAGAGAGAAGATTTGGTGTGAAAATGTAATGAAATGATGGGCAACAGGATAGTTCACATGACTGTGTCTGATTGAGCTGGTGTGATGATGTGAACTATCCTGTTTCCCATCATTTCAATGAAGAAGCGGGACTTGAAGCACAATAACAGAGAAGCGAGCCCCATCCAGTTTTACTGAACAAGCTTTAAGGCTACAGGGCCGGGAAGCTGTGTTGAATCAAATGAAGAGGAATTGGGACCATCTAAAAGTTGATTTGGGTAACGACCGCCTGGTGACATCAAAATGAGGTGAGATTTGAGATCTTTGTCACATTCCTTGGGCCATCCCTAAGCAGCTTTTGGGATGTGAAATGGTGCACTGCCCTGCTGGGGGGCCACTGCTGTCGGGGAATGTTGCAACAGTGAATATAAAGGGAAACTTTGCTCATATTGAACCAGCTGTGTGGCATCACAGTGTGTGCAGATGACGATATTTGGCTTCCCCCCGTGCTGCAGCCAGCAACTGGACCTCCACTGCTGGACAGGCAGGGGTCTCAGGGGGAAGTCAAACAACATTCATCTGCACACACTGTGATGACACACAGCTGGTTCAATATGAGCAAAGTTTCCCTGCTTCCCTTCACTGGTTCCTGTACAGCAGGGTCGGTCTTTGTTTCACTGCTATAGTCATTAAGGAGCAAAAGCAGCATGTGTATACATTCAGTAGGCTATATCTTCAGTAGCTAGCTAGCTAACCCTACACTTTTCAGGGTTTGATTTTGGAACAGGGAAGAAACGTATATCTTTTTCCAACCTCTCCAGGTAACGAGTATCATTAATACACGACGTGCCCCAGGCACAACATTTAGCTCCAAATCCACAAAACCCGCCTGAAAATGAAGGAAATCTGAAACAATGGAGCACAGCTGTGTTGTTGTCGGACCCTGGTCTGAGCCGGCCTGATGCTACGTTATGATTGGTCAGTCTGTGTCCAGGGGCGGGGCTTAGCGAAGGGTCAGTTACTGTATGCATTTTTGAGTTATGGACAAGAACGTGTTTTGTGAGGTGACAATGACCCTGACCTTTGACCAGCCAAAGATCCAACTTCTTAATTTTCATTTCCCCCAAAAAGTTAAAAGAAAAGAAAGATCCTTCCCGTTAAACACTAAATAATAAGTGTTTGAGTTGTGCCGTGGCAGTAAAAACAGGACACACAAAAACAGAACCACCAGACTTGATGAGTCAATTATTATTATTATCATTGATCCCACAGCGAACGTCAAAAGATGAAGGACAAAAACATTTCTACATTCTGTTGGTTCATGTCGTCCATACGTCTGTTTAGTCCTTCGTCCGCTTCTCGACAGTCGGACATCCAATCAGGCTTCAGATCCTCAAACATCAGGAAGTTCACTGGGTTTCCTCCTTTAAAGCTTTTCTACAAAAATATGACGAGTGACGACCGACGTGTCACATCTGATCACACCGTCTGATCCATAAATCAACAAAAATACAATCAGGATATGTATACATACATTTTTTATATATAGATTTAGATCTCTCCCAGGAATAGAAGCACTAATATATACACACACACACACACACAACTGCTGTGGGGCGAATTGGGTCCAATCAATCAATCAATCAATTGAATCATCAGAAGGCAGCTTTTCTGTCTCATCAGCAATATAAACACTTGATTCAGCGACAGGAAATCTCTCAATACACAAAAGCTTCTCTGAGAACAGACCAGAAAAGACGAGACTACATTTCCCAGAATGCAGCTGGTCCCTGCCTGGCAGCTTCCCAGCAGGGCCGTAACCAGGATTAAAGAAATACTGAGGTCCTGAGCCAAATTCCTTCGGCAGAGCTCCACACACCTGTTAATGTTTGATAGGCCACAAACCAAACTACCAAACTTTTATGTGTAATAACTGTGTGCGTAAAATGTCACATTTTGGTTTGCTGGCTGTCTTCTATGTAAACTTTGGGTTTTGGACTGTTGATCCAACAAGAGGAGACATATATCTCGGGCTCTGGAGTTTTTTTCTTTACTACTCCTTGATATTTGATGGACCAAATTGCCACATTTATCAATAATAAAAATAGTTATTAGTGTCAGCTCTATCAAACTCCACCTCATGTCATTTAAAACATTAACAGAGGGCATGACCTCAGTCCTCAGTGAAAGCTACGGCCCTGCTTCCCAGCCTGCTCTGACAGCTCATCGTATGAAGTCGACACTTGACGGGCAACTTTTAGAGGCAACACTTCTTCTAACGGATCTGAACCACGTCATTATTCAGTCTGAAATCGTTTTAATTTTCAGGAGAGGGAGACCTAAAAAGCTGTGCTGATTGAATTCACACTTGTTGCTAATTTTCTAGAAGATAACGTCCCCAATTTTTGGAAATATATTAATGGGCACAACACCAAAACACCAACTGAAAGTATCTGAGATATGAGCAGCGACACAGAGGTCTGTAATGACATCACTGTACGTGTGATCTGAGCCGAAATAAAGAACAAAGAGAAAAGCTAAAAATAAAAAATAAAAAGCTAAAATATCGATGAGGAGATTTATGATAATTTCAGGTGAACAAATTAACAGACCTAAATATTTTACCAACTAGGAACAGGATCCAAAATAGAACCAGCTACTGGAGCCCGACCAAACTCTGTACATAAATAGTTTAATTTAACGTTAAAAATTAAACGCAAACCCTACGGCTCATCACAGTCCTGCACTCTGATTGGCTGCTCATGTCATTTAAAGAAAATAAAGCTGCTGAGTTACAAGATTTTAGATCAAATGTAAACTTAACAGAATTTCATTGATCCTTCAGCTGAATTCAAACACTCAAATTCTACCTGTGTCTTTATTAAATGTATCAGTCTTTCATTGTGAACTTTTTAAACTAAGAAGAGGGACAGCTTTTTGCCTTTGAAGGGTAAATCAGAGATTGGTACGTAAAGGTTTGATTTCTTACAGTTAAGATGGAAACAGCGCCATGTTGGAGGAGTGACAACGAGGGTTTGGTACCATTCACATTTGTACCGCTTCCTGTACCCCACAGTACCTTTTCCTGGTACTTTGCTCTCTCTGTAATAACAAAAAATGAGTCTTAGTTTAAATAAAATAAGTCCAAACTTTTAGCTGTTGGCCAAAGTGAAAGGAGAGTCTGTGGGATTACAGACTGCAGCAGAATGAGCTACTCTTTGGCTCTGTCAGAGATGACACACTCTGCTACGACCAGGTGGCAAAATGTAGATAAATATATTCATTCAGTGCCTTTTTTATTGAAGTTTGACACCGATTGATGTAACGTGAATCAGTACATGGTAGTACTGACGTAATTTGGGTAGTACCTTTAAAAGTACCAAGCTCGACACCCAACTCTAGTGACAACAGATTTAAAAGCTCTTCCTCTATCAACCCGCAGAAACATGAGAAAAACGATGTTTAGTCAAATGTGAAAATCTGTTTAAACTGGTAAAATAAATAATTACAATTAAAACAATCAGTCGATCAACAGAAAATTAATCAGCAATAAATTAGTTGTAATTTTTCAAGCAAAAGTTAGAGCTGAAAATATCCATCTTTAAAATTTAAGAATACGTGATAATGATCACTTGCTCTAAAACTAAATTTGAGACGCATCAGCTGCCTTATATTATTAAAAGATTATAATTATCACATTTAACAACATTTACTGTCATTTGATCAGGGAAAGATTATTAAATGTTTCTGTGGAGAACTTGTAAAGACAATTCAGTGTCATTTAGGGCCCGACTGATAAGTTATTATAAAACATAACATAAATATTTTGATAAGTAACCTTTAAATTCAGTTATGTAAGAACTGTGACCAAGAAATGTCCTAAACAGTGCAAAAATAAATTTGTCAGTGCTCTCTGATGGACAAACTTTGTAATGTGCTGACATTTCGTGTTATTTATTGGCAATTTAATGTATTCGTACTGCTGTATATTTCAGCCAATAAGTAACAAAAACGTACCAAAAATATGAAGGTAGTAATTCAGAAACAGTTTAACATAGTTTATCCACTCAGTACAAGTCACAATGCAACTGAATTTAAGGTATTTTTAAATCAAAATAACTGCGTATGTTTAAAAGTGTCAGCCTCAAAACTCTTTTTAGATTAAATGTTATCTAAGAAGTTTATTTCCTGTGTTAGCAGAGGGTTCAGATACATCTTCCAACATGGCGTTGTGTCCCGTTAACAGCTGACTGTCACAGATCTGTACGTCACCAGCAGCTTCTATTTCTCTTTATAGTTCTGCTTCTCATAGCCCGCTATGTTCTCAGCAATAATGTTGCCAATCTGCATCTTCCAAAACAATGTTGCCTCTAAAAGTTGCCGATAAATCCCTGTCTTCTTCCTCTTGTTATTATTCCTCCATAACCAGCTAATTATTTACACAGTAAACCAAACATTCGCACACAGTAACATTTTTAATCCTTTTCCACAAACAGAAACCCTCAGTGGCACCATTTGGCATCCCTGGGCACTGCTGCCACTTAAAGGTGAAATCCTGACTCATTTTCAGTTCAAATTTCTGTACTGTCAAAGAAAGCGAGTGACCTCTGACAACACGCTGTTAAGCGAAACATCCGACCTCCCCAGGTGCTCCCAAAGCTGTTTTTGTTCTCACATATTTACAAACTACAGAGCCAGTTTTATTCCAGAGTCATGAGCGTCCCAGGCTGTGTTTGACACTTTGAGATGATCAGGAACAAACCAATCACTCACTGTTCAGATACACTGACCCACAGCCAGCTAAAATCTGCGCTCACCATGGTTCAACCATGTGACACATTGGAGCTACAGGACTAATCACTAAACCCCACCCGTCTGGGAGTCTAGGCAAAAAGGCAAATCAAGCACACCCAGGACTGAAGAGGATCTGAGACACTAACAGCTTCCTGTCTGGCTAATTAGCATGCCAAATAACGATCATTAAAAAAAAAATCAACAGTTCTATTGGCAAGACTGGGTCAGACAAAAACTTTATCCACAATCGAAATGCAAAAAAACAAAGGGCGAGAGACGGTTGCTGCAGCAACAGGAAATGACGAGAAAGTCTCAAAAAATGTTTAAAACAAATCTAGACGGACTAAAAGGAAGCAGATCTTTAGAAAATGAAATAAGACACACGTCAAGTTCCAGCGATTGATCGGTCCACAGTCGATGTTCAACAGGAAGTCAGAGTTTGATTTGTGCCGACACACTCAGGTGCCATTAAACTAAAGAGTCAACCAGCAGGGAAGCAAAACAATCAGCCTTAGTTGTGACTGGGCGGAGGGGGCAGGAGAGGGGCGGAGCGATCGTTGGTGAGGGTCCGTTTAAGCTTTACTGATCTGAGCTGGGTCAGCATGCTCCCTCCTCCCTCCGGGGGCGGCGGCTCTGGGTACTGGTCCTGGCTGAAGGGTGGAGGAACCTGGGGCTGGTAGAGAGCTCTGTGGCCCAGACTGGAGGGCGCTCCCTGGGCAGCGGAGGTCTGGAGCGTGGCCTGGTGCTGCTGCTGGTACAGCCTCTGTCTCTGCTGCTGGTTAAGTGGCTCTGCATACTGGTCTTGTTGGTGTTGCAGCTGCTGGGGTTGCTGGGGCAGTGACTGTTGATGGTGAAGCTGTTGCTGTGGTTGCTGTTGATATTGAAACTGTTGCTGTGGTTGCTGCTGCTGATGATATTGCTGCTGCTGCTGAATCTGGAGTTGCTGGTTGTGTGGCTGTAGTTGCTGCTGATGATTTAGTTGTTGGTTGAATTGCTGCTGTTGCTGGTACTGTCTCTGTTGCTGCTGTTTGGCGTTGTTGCCCTCTGGTGGCAGGGAGGGTACAGTGGGTACAGGCACCGGTATTGGCATCTGACCTGGGACCAGCTGGTAGTATGGGGAGGAGGAGGAGGAGGGAGGTAAGGCACTGAGGCTCTGCGTGGAGGTGCAGAGTTTACTGTAACCTAAACCTCCTCCAGCTGAGGGCGCTGAGAAAACATTCTCATCACTCCCGCCATTTCCTGCAAGCGCTTTAAGAGGAACCTGCGGGGTGCTGATGGGGATGGGAACCCCCCCGCTGATCGTGCCCCTGCGGAACTGCGGCTTTGATGATGGTTTGCGTCTGATGGTTGCCGTGTGGGACGGCAGCTGGCGGGCGGACCTGCCGAGCAATTCAGGCTCGGCCAGTAGGCTGACAGTGGAGGCGGGGCGCTTAGACTGGGCATACTTCCTGTACTGGAAACTGAGGTCGGAGTTTCTCGGGATGGTCGAAGACTTGTCGAAGTCTGACTGGCTGTTGCCATGGGAAAGGTGATGTAAGGAGATGGAGTCGGTGTCTCCGTGGAGAGAGATGGACTCGTAGTCGACTAGAAAGAGAGAGACAAGGACAGTGTTAGTTGTTGCTCTGCTTTCTGGATCATCTTGATGACATTTGAGCTTTTTCATCTTCTGATCTGACAGACAGATGACAGCAGGAACACCATTACATCAGTGTTATAAAAGGTCAAAAACACACACAGGGTGAGGAAGTGTTTCCAACTGGTCAAAGTAACCTTCATTTAAACTCTACATTATCGAATATTTTGAAAGGCACTCTAATAGAGGACTCTGATAACACTAATGACAATACGTGACAACAACTTTGACTTTAGATAAACATCAAATATAAGCATTTGATGCTTTTCTGTTTTATGTAATTGACACTTCTCTAAGCCCCGCTCCTTTGTGATGGTCCAACAAACTGTCGCAGTAAGCATGGAGCCCACACTGTAACTAACTGCACTCACTGAAGAAATATTATCATATTTTTGTAAAAATTAAAGAGTGATTCCAGAGAGAAGCAGACAGAGGGGTCTACAGTCTGTGTTTGAAGGATATATCCAGGATGTCAAACTGACTCAGCAGCAACAACAGGTTAAAAAGACAAAGATAGTTAGAAGCTAAAGCCGAACTATAGGCTACAGATCACAGTGTAAAAGTGAACCACCACATCACTGCTGATCGCCACACAAGACAATGAATATAAAAGGAAACTTTGCTGATATTGAACCAGCTGTGTGGCATCACAGTGTGTGCAGATAAACAGTGTTTTGCTTCACCCCCGTGCTGCTGCCAGCACCTGGACCTCTGCCGCCGGACGGGCAGGGATCTCCGGCGGAAGTCAAACAGCGTTCATCTGCACACAATGTGATGACACACAGCTGGTTGAATATGAGCAAAGTTTCCTGCTTCCCTTCACTGGTTCCTGTACAGCAGGGTCGGTCTTTGTGTCACTGTTATAATCATTAAGGAGCAAAAGCAGCATGTGTATACATTCAGTAGGCTATATCTTCAGTAGCTAGCTAGCTAATCCTACACTTTTCAGGGTTTGGTTTTGGTTTTGGAACAGGGAAGAAACGTATATCTTTTTCCAATCTCTCCAGGTAACGAGTATCATTAATACACGACGTGCCCCAGGCACAACATTTAGCTCCAAATCCACAAAACCAGCCTGAAAATGAAGGAAATCTGAAGGTATGGAGCACAGCTGTGTTGTTGTTGGACCCTGGTCTGAGCTGGCCCAATGCTATGTTACAATTGGCCAGTCTGTATCTGGGGGCGGGGCTTAGCAAAGGGTCAATTGTAAATTAAATATCGTTGGGTTTCAATCTAAATAAGGTATACAACTTTAATTATTTCTGGAAAACCGGACCTAATTAGATTTGATAAGTGGATGCAAAATTTTATGCAGATGTGATGACATGCAGTCGAAAATAAAGCAGACAGACAGGCAGACAGACAGGCACATAAAGACAGGTAGTTAGAGACCTACCATAGAGTGGAGGATCTCTCTTTACAGCTGGAAGAGAAGGAAGGAAGGAAGTTTAGCCAAGAAAACACAAAACTACTTAAAGAACAACAGAGAACTGGAGAGGACAGAGAACACCAGTAACACACAGCCACACAGAAGGAACTAGAGAATAACTTAGAGGACAGACAGGTCAACAGAGTTCATCCAAACAACAACAGGAAATATGAATAAAAGACATAGGAGAGCTGAAAGGTTCAGTCGTACAGATGATACACCAGAGTTAGAGGTCACTGAGTGAGTGTAAAAACAGCTTATGGTTTCTAGTCGACAGAGCATCATCTGAAGCTCGTTCACATTTTCTCGTTTTTCTCTGAAACCTGGATGAAAATCTTTTTTTCCCCAAAACACAATGAGCCTTATTAAGTCAAAAACAGTTCTGGTGCTTTATGGTTGTGTCGGATGTGTGTTTGTGTGTGTTGTGTACTCACTGTGTGTGTGTATGGTGTCCTCAGAGCAGGATGGGGTGGTGGTCTGAGTGCTGTAGCCACTGGAGCAGTGCAGAGAGTCCCTGCTGCTCCTCGGAGCGTCCGAATTCAACGCTCCCAGCGTCAACGCCAGCTGATCCCGGGCCGAGCAAGACTGAGAGAGACAGAGAGGATGGTGAGGTTACAGAGTTAGGTATAATAAAGTTTAATATTTAATATTTGATAAGAGGAGAGGAGAGGAGAGGAGAGGTGGTGTGTCTTTGTGTGTGTGTGTGTGTGTGTGTGTTACCTTCCCAGACGCAGACATGGCTCGAGCTCTCTCTCCATGGTGTGGGTAAGCGTTGTGTGGGGGGGCCAACAGGCCGTTCTCTGCCCCTCCGCTCCCACCAGCAGCAAGCTGATTGGTGGAGCCGACTGGATCCTGTCACCAATAAAACCAGTCAGAGTCATTTTAATGAACATGTACTGTCATTAATACACAGATTATAATCCCATGGAGCCATCATAGAAGTCCCTCATTAGACTGTTGTTCAGGTACAAAGCAGTCGCCTGGTTAATTACACATTATTAAACATCACATATTTGTTTCCAAATCTGCAGATCATAAAAAAGTATGTTTTTGTTAAAATTAATACTTTTGAGTTACATGCAGTGTTTGCTGCAATAAGCAGGACTTCTACATTGGCTGCTGCTCTGAACATCAACACAACACGTCAGTAGTTTAGCCTGTACTCTTTAAAAGTTCATCATTTTTAATCTAAGTCATTTCTAATTGTCAATTCTTGTAAAATGTTTTCCATGTGTCTCTTTAAAGTAAATGGCTCTGTTGTGTCAGTTAAGGCCCGTTTCCACCAAACACTTTTGGTAACTTTGGAAGCCTATCGTTTCCACCATAAGCAGTACTCTTAAAGGGACATTGTGTAGCGTTTTCAGTTGTTTATTGGGAAAAATCGATGTCTGCATTCATAAATATGTCATAATTGGTGTATTATTACCTCCACCAATAATCTGACTTATTCTCGTAAAAAGAGAACTCTGATTTGTTTGTATATTTTTGGGGGGTTCCATAATGTTTTGCCATCTTGAAAATACATCCGCCAGCAAAGGACATACAGCCTCAGCTTTGGCGTTTTTGTTGAGAGCCAGGCCAGCGCTGCGTGACTGAGAAGCTGAAGGAGAGGAGCAAGAGGTGCTTTGCTACTACCCCGTCACTACTGCAGCATAACAAAGTCCCACTCTTTGAGCATAATGCAGGATCGTGCATATGCAGCATCACGGGAGACGGAATCCTTGTCGCCAAGAAAGCGCAAAAGGGAATCAAAAAGGCAACGTGACCGGCGAATTAAAAAAACGATGGTCAACATCGGGGTCGCCTTTCCCAGGTGGAAAAAGCTGCTGAAGGAGAAAGGTTTTAAAAGGGATGCTGTGATTGGCCTGCTTGTCATTTTTTTCCCCGTTAGGCAGGCCAGGCCAATGCAATCACACTGATGCGAGGAGAGGGATGAGGTGTGTGAGGTTGAGCCACTTGTCAGTTGTCAAAAGACAAGACATGATTGGTTTGTTTCGATTTACACGTGCCCCAACAGTCCTACGTTGTAAACACAGCCAGCATGGTGAGGAGGGGGTTTGTCAACTCGCGTCGCGTGTGTCTGTGTAGGAGCCTGAATGAATACTCCACGAAGTATCGGACGACATCGTTTCATCAATGTAATCAAAGCTTTTTGGTACACAGCGGCTACAGTTGTTGCAATTCGCGTATATAACAGTGAGGCGCGAGACTGCGTGTTGTCACTCACTGCTCCACCCAGCACTCACTGTATTTCCTCATTATCTGCGACACAGATGGAAGTCTGCACCTGGTTTATCGTCCACAGAACGAGGCTGCGTGCCGACATTTTCAGAACAAAATAAAACAGGCTGCAGTGAGAGTCTCTCTCCATGGGATATTCAAAAACAGCGGGTTTGTGCATTTAGTCCTTCTCAGGCAAGCTCAGGGGTTTAGTGTTGCTGGAGCCCACAGGAACGATGCTCCGAGTGCTTTTTTTTTCTCTGAGTGAGGATTAGAATATATGCAGTTCACATAACCCGATCAAAATTGACATATAATGCTTGAATATCCACTCATTACTAAAAGTGTTTGTCGTATAAAAACTCAAGTGATGGTTGAAGCTTAGTTTCCACTGAGCTGAGGTCTGCGTCGCCTTGATGTGTAGTTATATTTCTGGGGAGGTGCAAGTCAGGCTATGGCGTAGGTATGCCGTTGATTAGCACAGAAGTATAAATCCCACATTATGGTTAAGTGCCTGGCTTTGGGGCACTACCTTAATGAGTACTGATAGAGGGAAATATGGCTGATATTATTAACTTAAAAAAATAAGACGCATCTCACAGCCTGAAGTAAGATTGACTTGAATGACTGTAAAGGAGTACTGCGTCATTTGGAAACTGGCTTTGCAGTTGAAAGTATTTCCAAAAATTAAAAAATCTGTTAAACTGTTGGTCCAATATGTACTGAGAGACAAACACAGTGTTTCAAAAGAGTCAAAGACACAAAGAGACGGATTCATATAGATAAAAACAACATGTTATAAGAGGACAAATACACAGAGGTTAAATACACACACGGCCAGGCAAACACACAAAACCAAATCACTGTACATGTGAAAACGCACAAATGTTCAAAGTTTTATGGAGCAGAGGTTTAAAATGACTCCAGATTTTATGGGATGAAACCAGAGCTGGATTAGAGATATATGAGGTTGACCCCGAGACATCTGAAGTGGATAAAATCTGAGACACAGAAAGGTGAATCAAAAGGTATAAAATCAGTGTGGGCTGATGAACATGAGGAATAAAACAGCGGGAGATAATGTGACCGATGGAGGACAGACGGTAAAAACACAGGACGGCACTCGGGTTGGGAGGAATGGAATAGTTTTAGTTTTGTTCTCACGGTGGTCATATCCCTGCGGCTAACGCGGCAGCTCAGCGCGGGGTGGTGGCCATGGCCGGCAGCGTAACCGTAGCGACCACGGCTGCCCTGACGCCCGAGGCGAGAGGGGGAGTTCCCTTCGCTGAGGGACCGCCCGGTTTCATCACAGCCAATCAGCAGATAGGGGGAGGAGCAGCGCTACACACAGGAGAGGGTTAGAGCGCTGTGTAGTCTTCGTCACGGTGAAAAGCTTTTATTTTGTAGATCCTCAAAGCTAACATTGTCATTTCAAAGTGTGTGTATGGGGGGGCTGGGAGTTAGCAGAATGGTTAGAGTGTGTGTGGGGTTGTTGCAGTGTTACATTTGAGTGAAGTGTACCTTTTATATATTAAACATGTTGAGACAGAAATTCCATTTTAGTGGAATTTAAGTTGAAAAGCATACATTTATCTAGTCTGGCTGAAATTAGATAATTCTCTGTAGTGATGTTACAGACAGTACATGGCCAAAAGTATGTGGACACCTGACCATTTGAACCACAAGTGTCGTAAGAACATGCGATTCCACAACTGGGCATTAATCTACTGCTGTGACAGCCTCCACTGTTCTGGTGTCAAGGCTTTGTCACCATTAAGTCACAAGAGCGTTACTGAGGTCCAACACTGATGTTGGGTGATCAGGTCCGGCTCACAGTCAGCAATCCCGTTCATCCCAAATGTGCTGAATGGGATTAAGGTCAGAGCTCTGTGCAAGCCAGTCTAATTCTTCCACACCAAACTGGGAAAACCAGACAGAGCTGTCTTTGTGCAAACTGTTGCCATGAAGTTTGAAGCGCACTATTTTCCAAAATGTTACTGTACGCTATAGCCTAAAGATTTGCAATCCGGAAAAACAGCCCAGGACCAAAGGTGCTCCAAGGTGTCCACATACTTTTGACCATATGTTGTACATGAAAAAGTACGTGACAAGTTCTATCAAACATTTTAAAGGTCATCAGAACTATTCTGGAGATGAAAATCATTTTGAGATATCGACAGATGGATTTTGTGTCTGAGCCAAAAGTTAATAAACTGTATAAAATGCAACTGCTCCGGTGAAGCAACTCTGTGTCTGTGGTGTGTGTGTGTGTGTGTGTTACCTGGATGTGTACTCCATCGACAGCACAGCTGATGGAGTCCAAGGAAGGAACGTGTCTCACTGATCCAGACTGGTAGTTACTAGAAAAGCACATACCAAAAAAAATGTTGGTTACGTACTGTAACCCCAGATTCTATGAGTATAGGCGCAGCCCTCTAAGAGCTGTCGCTATTGGGTTTATCCCCGCATGCATGCAGGGACAAACCCAATAGCGACAGCTCTTAGAGGTCGAAGCCTATACGAAATAGAACAAAGTTTACAGTGAAACAGCACCGACAGACTTTGATCTGCCAAACACATAAAAATGCAGCTAAAATCTGGAATGTCAAAATCAATGCATGACGAGGAATCATGTTTGTAATTCATTTAAAAGACATAGAACCTTTGTTCCAACTATGCAAAAAAAAAAGACACCAAACAATACTTTTTCAGGAGTTATGTTGAAATACATGAACATCTTTTTTTCAAGCCCATGTCCACTATGGCAAGGACACTGCCTTTATACATGGGACACCCACTCTACCCACTGACCTACAAGGCGCCCATTATGTGATCTTATAACACAAATAACCATCCAAGATAACATTAGTTATTACTACTGTTAGAAACACTGTTGGTAGAAGTACAGCATGCATTAATCTAGAGGTGGTGTGAGGTTAGTGTGTTTGTGTGTGTGTTACCTGCTGATGCTGCTCTTCCTGGACAGAGTGTTACTGGGAGAAGCTGGAGGTGTCTGATAGGTGTAATTAAAATCAGAGCCTTTCAGGTCCAGAATCACCTGAGACACAAAAAGAAAACACACCAACAATGTAAATGAATGTGTAATTCTGCCTCTCAATACTCTCTAACCTCACTCCCAAAACTCACTGGTTACTACTGAAGACTTTAATCTATATTAGCACTCACAAATATGTGGTTTAATTTTAAAAAAAGTCTAAGTCTATTTCCTCAGCTGGTCACTGTAGTTTTATGAAATGTTACTCAATCAGGAGGAAATAGTTCATTTGTAGGGGACTGTTTTTCATGGCAGATTAATCCACATTTTGTGTTCTCGTGAGTATTTGGGGCAGCAGGGTGGTGTATGTGAGACTGAGTTCAAATATATCACAGTGTTTGTTCATGGTGATGAAGGAACATGTCACTCAGTGCAGCAGAAGCTCACTGATGTGCCTTGAACAGTTTTTGGATAACAGTAGAGCTCTGTGGCACAGAGAGAGATGATAAATCAGACTTTAGATACACTCACAATACTTGTTAAGTAGGATTAAGGAAGTTTAAAAAATATATAGAATATCACCCTTCTTGACCTGGTAAAAATGAAATATTTGGCCTGAGGGTGGTGTTAGAGGAAACGTCAGAGGAAGAGGAGGGTACCTGCTCACTGGCTGGTGGGAGTTTATTGGGCTCAGCTGTCAGGTTGGTCAGATCTTCTAGGATGGTCTGCAGGTGGGTCACCTCACCCAGCATGTTGATCTCATGGTCCTACACACACACCCCCACACACACACGTTAATAATTATTCGGATTAAACAGGTTGTAAAGGCTGCCACAGTCCTGTACACACACACACACAGCACTGACCAGTACAGGCTTCAGCATGCTGACAAAGCTGCAGTAACGCGCTCTTTCTTCAATCAGCGCTCTGCACACGGCACGTTTCTCCGTCTCCTCCAGGACGGCGTAACGCACGTTGACGTCCTGCAACGCACTGTCCAGCTGTCCCCGTGCCTCGTCCTTCCCTGCAGAAACACACACACAGGAGGAGCTGATGATGAAAATCCAACAACATGAGGGTGAGTTTCTTTATTGAAGGAGCACCTACATTTTCTCCTCACAGCAGGATGCAAATATTTTTGGGTTCATGAAAACAAAAAGCGACTGACTTTCTAAAACTAGCCAGTTCATTAAATGTATATTATTGTGGAGATGAAGACTTTTTTCACAGTACAATAACCATCTCAGAAACTATTGTGGTTTTACGGTAATACAGAGTCTATATTATTATCAATCAGAATGACCCTTAAAGGAATCAATGAAACAGAAGGGTTATTGTTGGTTGAACAAATGTGTTATCACTATAACTGAAACTTGAAACCATTTTGTTAATGGAAGAATGTGTAAAAAGCCTTCTCTTATTTCAATATCGTAGATAAGCAAATGTATGATAACCGTTAGCTGTTATATCATGGTATACCTTAAAACCGGTAAGTCGCTGCAACCCTAGTCTCAGAGTTATGAGTACAGACTGATATTACTGGTATATAAATATCATATATCCAAAACTCTCATTTTTATTATTATTTTCGATCAATGTGATGGCGCCCTTGCAAAATGGTAGGACGCAGACAGCGGATGGGGAGTTGAATGTTGTCTGAAATACTCCACCAATGGCAGGCTTACACACACAGTACAAATCCACTGAGTCAGGCTAAGTGTGTTTATTGTGAAGTGTCTTTGGCCTCACTGAAATCAAACTGAGCCTGACATTTTACTTTCAACCAAACAGAACAGACATGAGACTGGATTAAATAAATAAAACAATAAATTAGAGTCATAATGCCATCATACGCTGTTGATAATAAATCTCTGAGACAGTGACAACAGAGTTACAGCATCATCAGTAACTCCTCACACACTCAGGCTGTGATACCAAGCTCCTACCAGCAGGGGTCAGCAACACATTACAGAGCAGCTGGACACGAGGTAAGGACATGGAGACACACACACACACACACACACACACACACACACAGTGCAGAGCGTCAGCTGTTTGTCACACACATGCAGCCTGATCTTTGAATCTGAGCTCCAGTGTGTTAGTGTTCGATTATTAGAAACGTAGATGATGTCCAACCACCTGATCTATTGATGTATTGACATATCTACTACATATCAATAGCTCATCAACAATTTCACACCAGTAAAGCAACTAAGAAGTTGCAATGATAGTGATGCTGAAGAGAGGGAAATCATTTGACCTTGAGAGAGAGACACAGAGATGAGACCTCTCTGTCTCTGATGTGATTTACGATAGTGTTTACTGGACTTCACCACTGGCATGTGATCCAGACCAGCCTCATCGTGTGATCCAGTCCTGAAAACAGCACATGAAAACCTCTGAAACCCACTTCACCACCCCCTAAAAAAAATAACTGTTTCTTAGACAGAAACCACTTTTATAAAGCGGATAACCAGAGGGTGGTTCTGGAGTCGTCTGACTTGAAGATGGAAAACATTTTGAGGCTCTTTAATCACAAATATAAGACGACCCTTATCACTCCAATTAGAACATGATCTCTTTCAGAAAGAAGATGTAAAATACTCAAACTATATACTACTAGAATCTATGCCAACATTTTTCACTTCAATTGTTTAACTGCTGGACCCAAGATGTCTTCTACTTCAGTGAGTCCATTATCGGTCTAATTGCAAGCTTCCACACCATCGTAGTCAACGATATACAACTGACCCTTCGCTAAGTCCCGCCCCTGGACGCAGACTGGCCAGTCACAACGTAGCATCGGGCCGGCTCAGACCAGGGTCCGACAACAACACAGCTGTGCTCCATTGGTTCTAATGCAATCTGCATTATTCTGCACAGTGAAGCTTAAACATCTAACTGATACAACACGAAGCAAAACTGAGGAGAAACTGTGAGGAGGTGGGCATTAATTAACCAGGACTCATGTTTTCTAACCACATGCAGAGACACTAACAGTAGCTGATCTGTGACTGTGTGGTGCTGGTGTGGCCTGAGCTGGGTGGGTTCAGACCTGCAGGTAGAGACAGACAGACAGACGGGGCTCTGACCTGCAGACCACCCAGCTGTGGAAACACACCCACTGAATGTAAAAATAAGTGCAGCAACGGTGGAGGAAGCGCAGAGCTCCACCAACACAGAGGAGTTTAAGTACAACTCACAGAGCTGCAGCCTCCGTCAGGGTTTCATTTACTCATTTAATTACATACATTCACTCCATCTTCAGAGGAATCATTGTGCGTTTTACTCTGCGACATTTTTTGACAGTGACAGCTACGAGTTACAATTCAGATCAAGATTCTACATACAAAACCCACCATGAGTTTAAAACATGTGATGCACTGTTAAAGATAATCAACCAAAAAGTGTATTTTTATTAAAATTAGCGCCCTTTTGATCGGCTACAACAACAAAATACGTCATCATTATAACACTGGCAGGAGCCACTTTTACTTTTGATACTGTGATTACATTTTACATATTTTTTACTTTGCTTGAATACAATTTTAAGTGCAGGATTTTTATGCAAGATGTGAACACTTCTTTCACCACTGTTTCTCACTGACACATGAATTCAGAGGTTTGTTTTCGAATAAAAAACCTACACCCATCTTATTTGTGAAACCCCAGCTCTCTGGCAAAATCTCAGGAACTGATCTTTTGATATTTTGAGATATTTTTCAAGCAAAGGCGGTAAAAACAAAACCTCTTTCTAACTTCAAGACAGAAAAACAGAGACAGTAAATCCTGTGGAAAACAGTGAGAAGCAGTTTCCAAATCCAAACACACACACACACACACTGCAGACTTTGTGTCATAAAGCTCAACCTAAACACGACCTGTTCACTCAGGTGTGTGTGAGTGTGAGGACAGAGGATAATTTCCATGTTGCCAACAGAAGCTCAGTGTCGGTGTGCTGTTAGTCTGCCTGACGTCTGGCCTCTGTGGAAACACACAGACAGGCTGCGTGTTGTCAGACTGTGTTTCTACAAGGCTCTGGCTCGCCACCCACAAAAACACAAAGACCTGAACTCAGAAGCTCCGCTCTGCACAGAGTCGACTCATTCGCTCTGTTAAAAAGGTGAAGCACAGTTCAGATGAAGCCGACTTCCACCGGCTGGGAAATGTGCTGTAATAACACCTTGTGTTTGTCTCCAAACAGGTTCGGAGTTACTTTAATGATCACTCTCTGACTCGGAGAAAGAGATCATGTGGTGATTTAAACATTGATGGGTATTTTTCTCAAAGCTCTGATGTGTCTGACTTGGCAGTAAATATTACAAAAGTGACTGAAAGCTAACAAACGAGATGCCTCATGCCAACCAGAGTCTCAGTAACTTAATCTGAATTTAATTCTATTTAAGTCAGACACAGCACTTCAAAGTGGTGATCTGTCAATCAAACAGTGTGGGCAGGACCAAGTTTGAGTGACCTCACATGCAACTTTATGTCATGATCTATGACCCCGGCGGATCTCTGCGAAATTACACACACCTCCTCTTTTGTTTCTTCCAAGAAAAGTCTGAATATGTTGTCAAATTGTCTTTATGTCAAAGAATCCAATGAAAAGGCCAAAACCTAACAAGTATTGTGTGTGTATCCGGAGTCTGATATTTCTACTTCCTCTGTACTGTAGTGCTCCATTGTTGCCCAGAAAGTATTCAAAACACAACAATGAGCCACACTGTTCCTTCATTACCATGAACACACACTGTAGTTTATTTTGATTCAGTCCCACACACACACCGTCCTGCTGCTTCAAACACTCTCTAGAACATTGGTTTTCAGACTTTTTGTGTCCAAGCCTCACCAAAGGGCAAGCCAAAGTCTCAAGGCACGCCTGTATTTACATCTGTGCACAATATCTTCTCTAATGTGTGTGTTATCACTCTTAACACGACATAAGACAATAAAAAGAAGACAAAATAAGACTTAAGAGAGTTTTCGTGATACAGTCGTAATACTGTCTACCTTTTAATGGTAGGTTGTCTTCATTGGTGCTTTGTTGTAATTTGCTCCGTACAATAAAGTGATCCATTGTCCCAATCAAGGCTTTCTCCTTTTAACTGTTATCATCCCTCACACTGGCTCCCAATCAGAGCTTTTGATGAGTCCAGTGTTTCCCACAGGATTTTGGGAAACTATGGGGGGGGGACCAACTGGGTGTGGCCAGGCGGATTTTGCAAGTTTGGCACACCGTGCGCGCTGGCGCAGCTACTCGTCTGTCCCACCTCCGTCCCTCCTACCTGCGCAAGTCGGAAAGAGGGATGAGAGAAGGCTTGGAGTGGGTTTTACACACATTACACCAATCAAATGAGCCCCTCTCCTCGCCCTTAAATGTGCCGCGCGAAGGCGTAATGAGAGTTTACTCAATTCGCCATGGCAGAAGAGAGCAGCAGCATCAGACGGCCAAACTTCTCCCAGGAGGAAACTGATGTTTTGGTCCGGGAGGTCCAAGCTCACAGTGTCCGAATATACGGAACTGCGAGCAGACCTCCACGGGCTGATGATGCAAAGGTAGCCTGGGAGGAGGTCACCACAATTGTAAATCAATGCTGCGTTTCTCTCGTGCGCGCGCGCTCTCTCTTTCTCTCTCGCAGTCTCACTCTGTTTCTTTTCTTTTGACTTTTCTAAGATGACAGATGCTGAATATATACTCCCTATCTGATGCTGTGGCTGTTTGTGGTTGGCTGAGAGGGATGTGAACTCACTAGTTTGCAGCCGTTTAATCAAATCAGATTGGGTTTCCATTACGCGTACCAAACATGCCAATCCCCTTTGATCTGACATCAGATGTGACGAGACAGTCGATATAGAAATACATTTATGTGCTGATTGCAGATAGTTGCATTGAATAGTGGTTTTGTGGCTATTTATTGCATTATTAATGTACCTGATATTCTGGAAAACTGCCTGTGAGGTTTTGGCGATGTGTGCGCACTGTCCGCCGGTCAGCCAAACTTCGGCTTACACCGGTTG